CTACCTGTTTCGGAACTCTGATGTGACTTAATCAATCAATTGCTCTCTCGTATTGCATCAATTCGTCTTTGTATAAGAAGTTGATTTTATCTGAATCTGCTACATATTGAGACGGTTAGCCACTGTTTCCAGTTTGTTTACATGGGGCGAGATTTTGCAGTTCCAGAACTTCTAATTATTGATTAAAAAATTTAATTGATGCAATGTAGACAATCGTTCAAACTTGACTGGCGCTGATGGCTGTTTTGCCGACAGACCACTAGAATAATCTTCTATTATCATAAACCAAATTACCACCAAAAATAATATCACTATAAATCCGATTGATAAAATATATGTAAGCATTTTTAATTGAATAAAAAAAAAATGTGTGTAACAAAATTGGAAATCAAATATGAAACTTGTTACTAAATAAACATTACATTGGATGTGGTGGAAACGCACTGTGTTAAAAATACAGAATTATGTAAATAAATTCACTTTTTCATTTAACATACATTTTAGTAATTAATAGGGATCAAAATTTTAATTATTTGTTCTTTGAATTTCTTAAAAAATAATGATTGTTTAGCTTCAAATGAATATCAATAAACATTAAAATAATTTAAATAATCTTGTTAAGCAAATATAGCTTAATGTTTTATTTTCCACGGGTCTTGATGAAGAATTTCGGACCCCTCATGGATTCGTGTCTCGCACATATCGTGATAATCTTTTTGTTATCAATTGAAAAATATCGAGTTACTGGTTATTGAACAAACGCTCTGCTGTTTTCAAATTATATTAAATGATAGCGGAAGATAATATAAAAATTATATTATTCGTAACATTCGTGTACTACTGACTATTTCATTTTATATTTTTTTGTTTGTTATTTCATTTGTTATGTTTATAAATATATTATTTTTATTATGAAAATATTCTGTTTGTTATTTTATGTGTTGCGGCCCGAAATGCCACAACATTATTATTATAGTACTCACACACACAACATAAACACTCGCGCGCACCAGCCGTTATGTTTATATTTATCTTTGTTTTAATTATATTTTGTGTTATGTGAATTATATAATAATATTATTTAAATCAGTTATCGGAGCGTTATCTGCTGCCGCCGGCTCGCCAGTACTCGTAGATTAACGCGGCCGCCGCAAAAAATTGTCTTGTTCCGTCCGTCGTCGTGAATAAGTCCCTCGCGAATATTATTATACTTTTTGGTATAGGCAGGCGCGAATCGCTCCACGTTTATATTATTGCTTTTATATTGGTTGTAGGTGCTAATCGCCACACGTATTATTTTTGTATTGTTAAATTATTTTTGTTTGTGTGTGTGAAACAATTATTTTGTATATAGCTAAGCTGGCCAGCAGTGCGTCGACAACTTGTGAGTTTATTATTATTATTTATATTGTAGCTCTAATAGCTGGTTATATTATTTTTATATCTATATTATTATTATTATATTCATATTAATACATATTATATTTATGTTGTGGCTCTAATAGCTACCTCTTGATATTCTTTTATATTGTTGGGCCAAAAGGGCCGTAATTATATTATTATTATTGCTATTATTATATCATATATTTTTTCACCTACTGCATACATTTGAGTTACCTTTAATATTATATCTATCTATTTGTCCACTAGTTTTAAGATTACACACATACACACACCACCTACACACTAGCACTCACAAGATTTGCTCGGTGAACCTGTCCACTTCCTGTTGAGTATATACACATATACAGGTGAACAGTCCAGTGATTGAACAGTTAAGGATTTGTCTGTAATCAAATTGTATTCATAAATTGGTTTTCAGTATCACATTTACACATTTTAGATTTTAAGATTGGTACAACTGTTTGGTTTTAAACTAACTTAAGAAAACCATATAAAACAAAATTACTATTAAGCATATTAGTTTATTTGAAAAAATAAGTGAACTAGTGATTGAACACAGCATGCTAGTCTATGAACACTCCAGCCCAGTGTATGAACACCAAAAATATTTGATAAAACAATTTATATTTAAATGATTCATGAATAATATGCAGTGCCTTTATTAAAAAATAACAAAAACTTAAATATGTGCATAAATACCTAGTAACAAAATTAGTAACAGAATAAATAAAAATAAAAATTTTAAACAAACATAACTTAAGTAAATATATTAATAAAAACCAACTTGATAACCATTAAAATATATATGTGTAGGAAAGTAACAATGTTACAAATAGATATAACAGTATTTAAAAATTAACAGTTGTAAATAAATTTAAAAAAATTAACGACAGAAATCACAAATGTTAGCAACCGTGTTTTCAGGACCAGCACATCCGCAACATTTGATCCATGGTTCACCACTTTTTGATGAAGTGTAAGGTTCATTGCAATATATACATTTGGCATCATCTTCAGATCTCATAGTTAGACTCAATCCTGGTTTAATTTTTTTTGTACTTTTTTGATTTTTTTGGTTTCTGTTTTTGCTTTTTTGTGGGGTTTTTACCAATTTTAAGACATTTTTCTTTTTTTATTTCCTCTCTACGTTTTCGTTTTTGTGTGAGTTCTTCTTTTCTTAGTTTTTCCTGTTCTTTATTGGCATGATATTCCCTCTACTTAATTGCTGTAACAGCAAATGGTAACTTTACTTGACTTCTATTTGGTTTCTTTTTAGGGTCAGGTTTTGGCCAAAACAAATGTTTACTCCACGATTCTTCAGTTGTTGAAAGACTCAAATAAGATTCATTTACACTTGATGCTATTTTGCTAGTTTCACTTATACATTTATCAACTATATTAATTCCTATAACTCCCTCACTTATTATACTATCAGTCTCTTTAACATTACAATCTATTATATTTCTAGTTTCTATATCACATAAGTCAGTTTATTTCATATTATTTTCAATCTCATTAATAGTTTCAAACATATTTTCAGTCTCATTTACAGTTTCACATAATAAATTTGTATCTATTGTACATTCAGTCTTATTAATAGTTTCAAATATATTATCAGTCTCATTCACAGTTTGATACATATTTTCAGTCTCATTTATAGTTTCACATAATACGTTTGTATCTATTGTATATTCAGTTTGGTTTACAGTTTCAAATATGATACTACCAGTCTCATTATCTTTAAAAACTTTATTTAAATTACTAATTTCTACATCTTTAGTTGTTAAATTAATATTATTTTGAGTGTATGTACTCCCAGCACTAGGTTGTTCAGATTCTAAAACAAAAATGTAATAATTAATAACTAATCTTTAGAATATTAATAAAAAAGTTATTTTATTAAAAAAATAGTTACCCAAGATATCGTTATAATGCTCCAAAAAATCCAAATCACATTCGTAAAACTAATTATCACCATTATCATACGCAATTTCAATAGGCTTATCTTCAATATTAAGATTTTCAGTTTTTTTTTTTTAGTATTAACCCAAAACTCAAACAAGGAAGGCAATTTTTCAACTTCAAGAAGAGGGTCTTGCAATTTTTTTTCAAATACTTCAGTTTTTGCTCTCCCTATATAATTTTCTAAAACTTTTAATGCTTGAATAGTATTTTGTAAGACCGGATCAATATTTGTGGTTGGAAACAGTATATTCCTTCGGTGTGAAATGCATTTAGAAAAGTCAACAGCATTGGGATTAAATGGATATAGTCCACACTTCTTAAAACCATTCACAATTAAACTTGTTTGTACAGAGTCAAACGCTTCTTTAAAATGATATACAAAATTAATTTTAGTTATTGAATTGCCAGACCTTTTATTTTTTGCAACTACATTTTTCCAGCTTGCCTTCAGTGGCTTAAAAATGGCTACGTCATATGGTTGCATTATGTGTGTACTATTTGGAGGAAGACATTATATAATAATCTGATTTTGAGCACAAAAATCGGCCAATTCCAGACTTAACCCTTCGTTAGTGTGTTAACGGTTATTTGCATCTTTAATGTGTTGGGGTTTATTACACCCCATAATTTAAAATAACAAAAAATCAAAATTATAGTTCAACTTTTATTAAAACTTAATTTTATAACAACTTGTTAATATAATAATAATATTATATAAAAAAATAACAATTTTTAGTATACTTTTTAGAACTTATAAGTAAATAAAATTTGTTTTTCTTACACTTATGACTTTTTATAAGAAACAAAAAAAAAAAAATCTTTTATCACTCATTATTTAAAAATAATATGAAATAAAAATAACTTTTTAGTTTTAAACTTAGAAATAAAACAATATAAAATAAACTAAAGAAACATAATTTTTATAATATTATAACATTTTACAAGGAACATACATTTTACTCGTTACTAGAATATTATTCTGTTCTATTATTACTAACTTGAAAAAGCTAATTCGTCAGTCATCAGTTTCATTATTTGAGTCTTTGGTAACACATTCGTAACATGTGTATTTTGTTTTTCGATCTTTACTTCTTAGACATATTTCACATCGTTTTTGAATTTGTTGAGATTTTCGTTGTATTTCTGTACTAGTGGATGGTGTTTCTTTGACTTTACAGTGTTGTATTAGACTTGAACGTATACTTCTTGGAAGTTTTGGATTTCCTTGTCTTGTTTGTAGATTATCTTTTATCAAACTTAGAGCTAGTTTTTTTAGAAATTCTTTGCGTTGAATCTTTATTTCGTTATTATAATTATATATAATTGTTGCATTTATTTCTGCCACATTCATCAGTGCAAAAAAAAACTGTCAAAGGCCAACGATTACTATTTCTAGAAACATCAAAGTTTGCCGATAATTCATCAACTGTATCGACTCCACCTTTTGTCTTATTATAATACGTTATTATTTCCGGTTTTTTTTTATTACCTGTATCTGTATCGATCCTGTTGTCATGGTGCATAGTTGATAGTAAAAGTACAGATTTTCCTTTTTTTGGTACATAAGAAACTAAAGTAACATTTTTTTGGAATCCAAATATACTTGTTCCCTCTGGTTTTTTTTTTAGAGTTTATAAAATCTGGGGGATTTCTCGTTTGTTTTTACGTAATGTCCCTACAACGGTTATTTTGTGTTTATTCAATAGGTTCAATGCTAAATCATAACTAGAAAACCAATTATCAATCGTCAAGTTTCGATTTGATCCGGATACGGGAGCTATCATTCTTTGAACTAAATCTGATGGTGAGTTACTGACATTGTAGGGGCCATCGGGCTGTTTGCCACTATAAATTTCGAGATTCAGTGTATAAAAAACTTCGGAATCAACTAACGCGAAAATCTTTATACCATATTTCGATGGTTTATTGGGAATATACTGGCGAAAAGAACATCGGCCGCGATAAGCTTCCAATTTTTCATCTAGTGTTACATTTGGTTCTGGTAAAAAGTTTGCTTTACAATGTGAAACAAACTGGTCAAAAAATTCACGTATTGGAGCAATTTTGTCAATTTTTTTATTATTGATACGTGTTTGAACATCATCGAATCTTAGACAACAAAGAAGAAATCTGAATCTTACAAGTGACATGGTAGTTCTAAATAATTCAACTCCAGTTCCGTCTGCTGCCCACAAGTCATCAAGATTGAGACGACTTGACTTATGAAAACCAGCCAAGTACAATAAACCAAGAAGAGCTTTTATTTCTTTTTCGTCGGTATCTTTTGCAACCCATTTTTGTTTATAGTTTTCTCTACGAGATAATATTTTTTGATTTGTATAAATAACTAATTTACTTATCATACTTGCACGAAAAAATAAATCAAAACATTCGGGTATCGTTTTAGCATTTTTCGCATCACTAATAGTACATGAAACACGTCGAATAATATTACATTCTCTAGTTCTACTCACAGGTAATGGGATTTTGCTCCATTTGGTTGTTTTATTTTTCCCCGTATAATATTCATCACCATGACCATCATCAGAACTGGAACTAGCTTCTTGTTCTGATTTGGAGTCATGTTCACTTTCGACTACGAAATCAACATCGTCATTTGAATTATCTACGTCGGAAAAATCATTATCAATACACTCGTCCAAATAACCAAGAATTTCTTCACAATTTGCTATTTTCTTTGTCAATACCTATTTTAAATAAAATACATTAGGCAAAATTATAAAATAAACACATTTATAGTATAAATGTACTTACCAAAAAAGAAAATCAAAATAATTAAAAAATCAAAAAAATATACATAAATGATGTGTTGGGGTTTGAGATACCCACAATTTGATATCACTCAGTTGATTACATGATAACAGATAAACATATGGTAATTTGTTAACCAAAACTGTTTTGCATTATAGAGTACTATGTTAAGAAAGATTTCATGGAGGTAAAAGTTTGATTTAGTTTAATCACTAGTAGTATCACGTAAAATCTTATCACGTGGGGTTTAATAAACCCCAACACACTAACGAAGGGTTAAATGGCTTTTATGACCATCAACAAATTGTACCACAGGAAATTTTACTTTATTCTTGACTAACCATGTAAAGAAACCATTTGAAATAAATTAAAAAAATGTAATACTGATCATCCATCCAGAGTCTGACCTTCCAATCATCCAATTATTAGGAAATGTTGTCATTAATGAAGTGGGGATTCTCTTGTATGTGTTAACTACTATTGGTGGTGGGACAGTACCATCTGCCGAATAAATACATAATACAGTAATGCACTCTTTTTCATGACCTTGTGCAATTTCATAAAAATCTTTAATATGCCTTGGACCTAATACTCTGCCAGATTTAGGGTAAGTTTGCAGACCGGTTTCATCACAATTAAATATCCTAGCTGGATCATCTAATATAACCCTACACCTTTCATTTATGAGAAATAATCCTAGTCTTGGAACCAATAACGAATTTTGTCCTCAGTTACTGCTGCCCGTGCTTTAGAATTAACTTCAGTGTATCTTTTAGTAATTTCTGAGTTTTAAAAAAAAAAAAATTTCATCCATTTTTCTCCGGGTCTGGAATCTTAAAATGGTGTCGTCCTTGGAAAATCATTAATTAATTTTGAACAGAGTCCTTAACGTCTTCTTCCCTCAAAGGAAAACCAAGTGTAGCATTATTTAAAATCCAAGCTTTAATTCTATTTTCTTCTTCATTACGCAAAAATGAACAAGGGCCTATTTTTCTAATTAAAGGTGTTTTGCCCGAAATTTTCATTCATAAAGTTGATTTGGGTATGTTATACTTAATTGAAGCTTTATTTAACGACAATGATTTAGAAGTTACATCTTCCAAAGTCAATCGCATTTTTTCTTTGGTGTATTTAAATTTGTTGGCCATTCTGGAAGTAAAAACTATAGGTACCTAAATATATATTTGACCATCTTTGGTAGTATTTAAATAAACTATATTTTATTCTCTATAATATTTTTTGTAAGTCCACACTTAAATATTGTCAGTACTTGTAGAATATATTAATATATAAACATATACAATATATATGTAGTTATTAGGTACAGTCCTTTTCACGAAAAGTGGCCCTCGACTTTAGCGCGCCTGGTGGATGTTTTGACGCAGGGGCTCTAAAACACGCGCGAAACAAAGCGCGGCAAATTTAAATTAATTACTCATTTGTATTTATCTTGAATATGATTATTTTTACGCCGTTATTTAAATGCAATATTTCTTAATACAAATTATGAACAGTTTTGTAATTTATTATCACGATTTTATTTGTTTGCAAATACAAATAAAATTAATTAATTTATCTAACATTAAAAAATATATACATAATTATAGCAATATTTTACAAATCACAATTTTCATTTAATTTATGTCATCTTCATCTTCTGAATCGTCGGTATCTTCATCTGGGTTAATGGTCATTATATTGGCCAAATTTCGTCACGTAAGCCTTCTTTATAAAATCTTCTTCTTGCAATTTTCGCAATGACTTACACATTCTTCCAACTATCCACGTCACGGCATCCAACGCTTCGTTAACAAGTTTTCAACATCTGCTATTTTAAATGAGACATTTTTGGCGACATCCCTTTTACTTGTGCCCATATGAGTTCTATTGGGTTATTGGCAATGGTGGAGACGAGCGACTCATGTCCCATTTCAACGCGATTTGATCAAGCTCATATATTTTGTCTGGTACCTTGTTTGACCTTTCACGCAATTCTCAATGTTTCGAGTGGTATATTCAACCCTTTTCAGACAGCCATTTTGTACATTTGATTTTTCATTTGCCTTTGGATAATTTCTCCTAGAACTGAATGGTATGGTGCATTGTCCATCACGATTATTGAAGGTTCTTCTAAATGTTGTAACATTTGTATAAACCACTCTTTAAAAATAGTAGAATTCATTTGGGAGTGATAATCTACAGACGTACCATTTTGGCATCGAAAAACTAACTTTGATCCAGGTACAAATCCGAATGAACTTGATCCTGCGTGGCAAATAATCAATCTACTCCCTTTTCCTGTAGGTACTTTAAGGCCTTCTGAATTAAATTCATTCTGCCAAATGTACCCTTTGGTATGATTCTGATTAACCCACGTCTCGTCCAAATATATAACGGGCCGAGTATCATTATTTTGGCGAAGGTTAACAATAGTACGCAAAAATTTAACTCGCATAGCTACAATGTCATTTCGCTCCATTAAGAACCGACGCCCGTCATTGCATTTTTTGTACTTAAAATTTAGATTTTTCAAAATGCGCCACATCGAAGTATTAGAACCCTTGTACTCAGTTCTTTTTATATATTCAGCTAAAATATTTGATGTGGTAGGGTACTCACGTTTATCATAAAAATCATGAACGATCCTTCTCACAATATCCGCATCAAAACCGTCAACTTCACTTGCAAATTTTATCCTTTTATAGGTTTTTCGTGGGGAAGTGAACGATGGACAATCAGCCTGTGATTCAGATAAAGATTTGTTTCCTTCCGCGGTGATACGTTTCACAGTTTTCTCACTTACACCACATGCTTCAGCAGTCTTTGCTTGTGTCTGTTTAAAAAAAATAGCTATCTCCGGATTAGACGTATCCAATGATAATTTTTTAAAATATTTATACACATTGAAAATTGTCTTTTTCGTCTGTGAATGTGTATCACACTGTGAAGACATCTTAAAAAAAAAAATTAAACAAATTGTCGATGGTATTCAAATAATAAAAAGTGCGCGAATAGAATATCACTGCGTATAAGAAGTATGAACACAGACTAACGTGGTATAAACAGTGACTATAACCACACTATTGATATGGGACGTTATATTACGATATGACGCTACAGTGACGTGTAACCATGGCAAAAAAAGTATCTTATTTTGATATTCTACAGAAAAAAAAAACTATGGAGTATAACAACAGCTGTGTCGTAGAGCTACCGGCTCTCTAGCGGACAATATTAAGAACCACTGGCTTTCAGAAGTACCGTCACCAGGCACGCCACCGTCGAGGGCCACTTTTCGTGAAACGTACTATAGTGTATACTGTATACTCGTCGGCACAGTTTGATCGGCAACTTTCGTGCTCGATCGATGGCTAGTTACGGCGAAAGTGGGAGAAATTAGCCTCGGGACGGCTGGCAGCCGTCAGTCGACATGCGCGAAACCGGTATGTTCTCTTTTGAAATGTAGTGTAGGCACCGGTTTATCCCATACCCTTTTATAGATAAGCCCACCGCTCGCCTGATATATTTTTGTTTATCTACTATACCTCAGTGCGCTTCCAGCTTTCGAAGAAGTTAAATCGTTCATGTCGTCGGTCACGGACGACCACGCTTGTCTATCACGTAAGTTTTTTTTAACCTATTCTGTTTTATATTCTATTTCTGTTTGGTATTTTTGTAATATTTCTATTTTTTTTTTTTTTTTGTATTCAGTATGGACACACTTCTTAAAAACGTCGATGAAATTACAGCAGAGCTTTACCGACAGTTGGATGAAGATGATATGTCCGATGCCGATGATTCGTCGAGTGAAACAGAAGATCGTGTTTTAGAAAACGATAACGTCGTAGCAGACGACTTTCAATTATCGTCTGACGAAGAGTATGATGAAGAAATAGAGGCGGATCGTGAGTTTTTTTTGGGAAAAGACCAAGAAACTATTTGGTCATCTCAACCGCTTAGCTCAAAGTATTCCAGAACTCCTAGTCGTAATCTAGTCATACGCTTGCCCGGGCCAAAAGGGGACGCGAAAGGTGAACTCATAGAGGTCAATTGTTTTTCTCTTTTTTTGACAAATTATATGGTAGAAAAAATTGTCCAATATACGAACGAAGAAATCTCGATTAGATCTCAAAATTATGCAACTAAACAGTATTATTTAGGACCCACTAATGTCATTGAAATTCGGGCAATTATCGGACTTTATTTGAAAGCAGGGATATATCATGGAATATCCATGGCCGATTCATTCTCGGTTGAAAACGGTCCTCCGTTATTCCGTGCGGTAATGTCATTCAATCGTTTTAAATTTTTGACATATTGTTTACGGTTTGATAGCAAATTAACGAGAAATGAGCGACGAGTGGTTGATAAGTTCGCAGCATTTCGAGAGATGTGGGACTTATTTACTATTCAGTGTAAAAATAATTACACCCCGTCGGAATATGTCACTGTAGACGAAACATTATTGTCATTTCGGGGACGATGTCCGTTTAAAATGTACCTACCAGCAAAACCAGACAAGTACGGTCTCAAAATTATTTCTATCTGCGATGCCAAAACTTTTTATTTTTATGGAGGAATCCCGTATATTGGCAAAGAAACACGCAACCGAAATGATTTACTTATACCTACCCAATATGTTCTGAACCTAGTGGAACCAATTATGGGAACAAACAGAAACGTCACAACCGACAACTGGTTCACCTCTATTGAATTAGCAGAACAGTTACGTGTTAAAAAACTGACATTAGTAGGTACGTTGAGAAAAAATAAACGCGAAGTTCCTCCACACATGCTAGTCGTAAAAAATTTACCACCAATGACCACAAGATTTCTGCATGCACCTGAGATGACATTGTTGTCTTTCTCAAAAACCAAAAATAAAAACGTTTTAGTGCTTTCGACAATGCATGAAACTGAGACAATAAACGAAATATCGAAAAAACCGGAACAAATCGAATTCTACAATAAAACAAAAGGAGGTGTTGATGTATTTGACAAACTTTGCCACCAATATTCTTCAACCAGAAAAACCAACCGATGGCCATTACGATATTTTTATGGACTTTTGGATGCAGCCGCTGTAAATGGATACGTCATATTCAAACACAATAACTTGAACCAAGACAAACGTTTTATACGATCAAAATTCATAACAACATTAGCGTTCCAATTGCTGGAACCACAATTGAAAGTACGTCAAGAATGCCCTTTTTTACCAAAGGATTTGAAAGAAACTATTGAAAAAATATTGAAAATACAACCAATTGAAAGTGCAGCACCATCTGGAGTAAATCGTCACCACGGTCGTTGCGAATTTTGCCGAAAAATGTCTGTGGATCGCAAAGGCACTTCAAACTGCACTAAGTGCCATAGGAGTTTATGTGCCCAGCATAGGCTAAGCATATGTTCAACATGTGACATAAAATATCAGTTATTAGAAGAAGAAATTATGATGGAATAATAATAGGTATTATTTTGTTTTATTTATGTTTTTTTGTTAATTTATAAGATACAAGATTTTTTTTTTGTTACAAGATACAAGTTGTTTTATGCTTTTGTTAGTTGTAGTTTGTTTTAGTTAATTATGATAAGTAAAAATAAAGAGAATTTATAAAAAAGTTTGATTATTTCTAATATAAAATTACATTGGTCACCCGTGACCGCCCTTGTCTGATCTGTTGGGATTTATAGCCTTGCCTGTGGAGGGTTAAGTAATACAATGAAAAAAAAAAGTATAAAATATGTAAACTAATTAATCATTTCTAATAAAAAACAATACATGAGGCGTGATTTCATTTTTTTCTGATGTTCGATTAATTTTTTTGCATAAGTCGTCATGTACCTCCCAAAATCCATTTGCACGACGAACATATGATTTGTAATGGCCCATGCAACCAACATCCGAGTTGATAAATGCTATAGCTGCACAAATCTAAATCTATATAATATAGAATATACCATTTTAGAACATTTTAATAAAATAAGTAAGAATTAAGAAAACATGAATTTGTTTTAAATATATGAATTATGAATTGAATATAAATATTTTTTATCTATGACTTTCTATAACTTTTGTATCAGGCAAATCCTGGATTTGGCATTTAATTTCTTTTGTTTTAGCAGATGTTTTCATATTGATTTCAAT